GAACAAAACAAAATTATTTATATGAATAATCGCAAAGAATTTTTAAAAAGCCAGGCGCAATGGCTCACACCTGTAATCCCAGTGCTTTGGGAGGCCAAGGCATGTAGATCACCTGAGGTCAGGAGTTTGAGACCAGCCTCACCAACATGATAAAACACTGTCTCTATTAAAAATGCAAAAAATTAGCCAGACATAACGATGGGAGCCTGTAATACCAGCTACTCAGGATGCTGAAGCAGGAGAATCACTTGAACCTAGGAGGTGGAGGTTGCAGTGAGCTGAGATCACGCCACTGCCCTCCAGCCTGGGCAACAAGAGCAAAACTATGTCTCAAAAAGATACTCAAAAGCCATCTCCAACATCCCACCATTCTTCAGCTTCTCCTTGAAGCCTATGTTCTTTCAGTCAGATATGTTCTTATCTCCTGAAAATCCTGTAGACCTTTGTGTCTCTCTCATGTCTCATGCTATACTTGCCATGTAGCTTTGGTTGTTTACACCCTCTCCTACGTTACATATTTCTTCAAGGCAGACTGTGTCTCACCAGTGTTTTTCTCCTGCAAGTATAAGAACAGTGCCTTGCACATAGCTGGTGCTTTATTAATAGTGATTTTGTATGTATGTATGTATGTGTGTATTTATTTATTTATTGAGACAGAGTCTCTCTCTGTCACCCAGGCTGGTGTGATCTCAGCTCACTGCAACCTCCACCTCCCAGGTTCAAGCAATTCTTGTGCCCCAGCCTCCTGAGTAGCTGGTATTACAGGCATACACTGCCACACCTGCTAATTTATGTATTAAATATTTTTAGGACAGATGGGGTTTCACCATATTGGCCATGCTGGTCTTGAATTCCTGACCTTAAGTGATCCACCCACCTTGGCCTCCCAAAGTGCTGGGGTAGTGAGCCACCGCGCCCTGCTGTGACTTTGTATTTACAGAGAAAGGCAGAGTCTATGTTTCAGTTTCTTCCCCACTTATGCTAATGTTAATCCTAAGGGAAATCTGTGGAATGAAACTTCTCTGTAGTATAAAATAGCCCTGTATTCCTAAAATTCAAAGTACTATATGTTCACTGAAGAAATTTTTGATATCAAAAAGTAGAAAGAAAATTGCTTATTATTCTGTCTCCCAAAGAAAAGCAACTATTTATCCAGCAGATTTCACTGGGGACTTGTTTTGTGCCATGTACTAAACTAAGTACTAGAGATAAAAGGCAAAAGATATAATTTCCGCCCTCAAAGAGCTCATGGTCCAATGATGAGAGAAATAAACATAATTTTAATTATAGAGTAAGTGCTAGAAGCATGCACAAGAAGTTATCCATAAAAGCATAAAACATTTTGTTGTACCTTTTTACAGAGTCTCGTTCTGTAGCACAGGCTGGAAGTGCAGTAGTGTGATCTCAGCTCACTGCAACCTCTGCCTCCCAGGTCCTCATTCAAGCAATTGTCCTGCCTCAGCCTCCCAAGTAGCTGGGATTACACGCACGTGCCACCATGCCCAGTTAATTTTTGTATTTTTAGTGGAGACAGGGTTTCACCATGTCAGCCAGGCTGGTCTTGAACTCCTGACCTCGTGATCCACCTGCCTTGGCCTCCCAAAGTGTTGAGATTACAGGCGTGAGCCACCGTGCCTGGCCTTGCTGTACTTATTTTAAGTGCCTTACTAGAACTTGCTTTTTCAGGAATTCCTTTGACAAATCTTTTAGGAAGTAAGCACCTTCTGTTATAATCTTCTAAATTATTTCTTAATAAATCTAGTTTTCTTAAGATAAAATATGTATATAAATGTTTCTAGCATTTAGATTTTAGATGCAAAAGGAAACGTGCTAGAAAATACTTCATTTTGTCTAATAGACCTATGACTGAAAGTAATCTATTCTCTATAAATGGTGAAAAGGGAAAATTTGAAGATTTCTCATTTCCAGTTTTACCAAATAAATTCACATTTTGTGAGACTAGAAACCAATCCTTCCTCACAACTCCCATTAGGTAAAATTATAAAATAAAATGGATTCAGAGGTAAGTTTCTAAATATGCCAATGTTTTGATCAACTCACAAGGTTTTTCTGATAATATTAGTGTTCCCAGGATAAATATAGTACCACTCAGATCTGCAAGAACACACTCCTGATGCTGCAGAAAACCACAGAAGCATACAGGAAATGGTACAGCTTGTAACTGCAGTACCAATATAGCTCTATCTGTGAAGCCAAAAATATACTCTTAATTCACAGGCAAAAATTGGAGCTAATGATAGCTCTAATTTATTTTCTTTCTATCAAGAATATTAATCTTGCTGCCCTTGTTCCAGAGTGTGATATCGGAAAGTATTTTGACTTTTCCTCATTGTTTAACCAATTAAAATGACAATCTTAATGTTTATGATAGCACAAAGTGTAAATAAAATTTAACTAGAGAATCTTCATGTAAATAAGACTAGTTACTAAGAATATTATCAATTTTTATTTGTTTTCCTGAATGTTTACTATTTCCATATTTTGTCAGTTACCATTTCTTTTTCATAATTCTTTATTTAGTGGACATATCAGGCCATGGTCCATGAACTGCTAGGCATAAACAACAATCGGATTGATCTTTCCAGAGTGCCGGGGATCAGTAAAGACTTAAGAGAAGTGGTCCTATCTGCTGAAAATGATGAATTCTATGCTAATGTAGGTGGTTTAAAATTTTTTTAAATTGTCTTTAGTTGTTTTTATGTAAGAAGATGAGTATTGGCTTGTTAGTATGGTGGCAGGCATGGGATTTTGTGTGAAAGGATGATAGAGGTATCCTATGGATAAACTGTCTTTTGAGGGAAGGCAGAAGACTTGGATTCTGACCCTTTAGCAATATTTTTTTCATGGAGATCATATAGTTATTTACTTCTCTCCCCTCCAGTAGCTCTTTGTGAGAATAGTAGTGATATTCCTCACCAGTATCCTGGCTAATGTCCAAATTTGGTAATTAAAATAGAATTTCCCTGCCCTTCAATTCTGTGTTCAGAATTCTTTTTCACTTCTTTTAAATTGTCTGAAAGTCAGACTAGTTGATGAACTGTGCTTCCAACTTTCTTCTTCACAGAATATGTACCTGAATTTTGCTGAGATTGGTAGCAATATAAAGAATCTCATGGAAGACTTTCAGAAGAAGAAACCAAAAGAACAGCAAAAACTAGAATCAATAGCAGACATGAAGGTAAATTGAACATGTACATGAATGACTAACATGTGAGACTTTGGAACTATTCATTGTAAGCAACACTTCTGGAGTCTTCTGGGTCTAATTTCTACCTTGATTGATTTTATTTGGTTTGAGACTTATTTTCTGTAATGTCTTTTTATTAAACAATATAGTGGGCCGGGCGTGGTGGCTCATGCCTGTAATCCAAGCACTTTGGAGGCCAAGGCAGGTGGATCACCTGAGGTCAGGAGTTCATGACCAGCCTGACCAACATGGTGAAACCCTGTCTTTAAAAAAAAAAAAAGAAAGAAAGAAAAAAAGTAAAACAATATAGTGAAAACTTCACGAAAAGCCATGTGATTCTTTCCATTCATCAGTAATATCTGGACTATTTAAAGACTCAGTCTGCCAACATATACCAGTTCTTCTCTTCTTCTTTTTCTTTCTTTTTTTTTTTTTTTTGGGGTGGGGGCAGAGTTTTGCTCTTGTTGCTCAGGCTGGAGTGCAATGGTGCAATCTCGGCTCACTGCAACCTCTTCTTCCCGGGTTCAAGCGATTCTCCTGCCTCAGCCTCCCTAATAGCTGGGATTACAGGGCATGTGCCACCATACTCAGCTAATTTGTATTTTTAACAGAGACAGGATTTCTCCATGTTGGTCAGGCTGGTCTCAAACTCCCAACCTCAGGTGATCCTCCCGCCTGGGTTTCCCAAAGCTCTGGAATTATAGGCGTGAGCCACCACGCCCAGTGTTCTTCTCTTCTTAAGTGTAACAAAATGCCATGTGGCTGAGAGTTGTAGATGCTTTAATCTAGGCTGAAAAACAACCCCTCTTTCCACCTCCCTCCCCATTCAACACATGCTTATTCTCAGTCAGAAACTAACAGAACCTCCCATTGATGTTTTTCCCTTGGCAGGCCTTTGTTGAGAATTATCCACAGTTCAAGAAAATGTCTGGGACTGTTTCAAAGCATGTGACAGTGGTTGGAGAACTGTCTCGATTGGTCAGTGAGCGGAATCTGCTGGAGGTTTCAGAGGTTGAGCAAGAACTGGCCTGTCAAAATGACCATTCTAGTGCTCTCCAGGTCAGTCCAATTTGATGGGCACCTACTATGTGTAAGGCACTGTGCCAGGCAGAGCAAGAGATAAAAAGACAAGTAATCCTTTTTTGCCAACATGGAATTTAGTCTTACAAGGAGCTGAGATGAGAACACAAATTAATATTATTTAAGATAGATCTATAATAAAAGCCACAAGAGATGTGTAATGTGCAACTCCCAAGGATTCAGTTAATTAGGATGAGGGCAGCCTATTCTACTACAAAGAGCACCAAACTAGAATCAGAAGATCAAGATTAGAGTGTTTAGCATACCACTTACAGGCTTTGTGATGTGGAGCTGTTGACTTAATCTCTGAGTCAGTTTCATTATTTGTAAAATAGGTATATTAATACTCATCTCACAGAGTGGTTAGGAAGACTTTAAAAGATAAAATGTATATTAAAATGTATTATCGGCCGGGCGCGGTGGCTCACGCCTGTAATCCCAGCACTTTGGGAGGCCGAGGCGGGTGGATCACGAGGTCAAGAGATCGAGACCATCCTGGTCAACATGGTGAAACCCTGTCTCTACTAAAAATACAAAACTTAGCTGGGCATGGTGGTGTGTACCTATAATCCCAGCTACTCAGGAGGCTGAGGCAGGAGAATTGCCTGAACCCAGGAGGCGGAGGTTGTGGTGAGCCAAGATCGTGCCATTGCACTCCAGCCTGGGTAACAAGAGCGAAACTCTGCCTCAAAAAAAAAAAAAAAGTATTATATAAGTTTTTTCATTATTGAAGATCTGCTTTTCATCCCACCAACACATTAATGCCTGCTATATGTATATACTATTGCTGTGGGGATCTAGAAGTACAAAGATGAATAAGATACCACATTATAGTAGGGGAGAAAAAAATTTAAACCAGGAATTATAGTACCATGCACTGTGTGCTATATACAGGTATTTACAAAGGAATATGGAAATACAGAGGAAGGACAACTGTTTTCCCCAAGGATGAGGCTTCTTAGAGCTTCTTAGGGAAAATAACATTAGAACCAAGTCTGGACAAATGAATACATAGGGGTGCATCAAGCAGGGAAAAGGAAAAAACATTCTCAGCAGAGAGAATACAGGCATGAAGATGTGAAGAAATAAATAAATATTGATAAATATATTTTTTTCTCTATATATGTACAATATATTTGAAATATACATATATTTATATGGGAACAGAGAATAGTTCAGTGTAGCTAGTACAGGGTACAAGATGAGTAGTCTTAGACTAGAAAGATTGACTGAAGCCGGGTTATAGCCATTGGAAGGCAGTTGAGCTTTAATCTTAAAATGATGGGAGCTACCGGAGGATTTTAGAAGAATAGTGACATAATCAGACTCTGGCCTCAAGAAATGTATAGTCTAGTTGAAGAGACAAAACTAAAGCACAATAAAAAAATTAGATAATGTTTCAAGATGATATTTAATCAAGTCATTATTGTAATACTGACTATAACAGGTTTTGAGGTTATTGGGAACAGTTTCTTAGAGAAGACAAGATTAGGATGAACCACAAAGAATGAATAGAATTTGGGGGAGGAGTTCAGTCAGGAATAACAGCAAAAGCAAAGATGTAGAAGTATGCAGGAAGTAATAAACAGTTTGACCTGTAGAGAGTGGGTATGAAAGAGAATTAGATAAAATTGGTAAACGAAAACCAGTTTATGAGCTTTATAAAGAGGCTTGTAACACTTTATACCTGCTGAGATATGCCAAGATCCAGTATAGGATCTTCTGTAGAAAGTTGAGGTAATGAAGGCAGTATTTTAGGAAATGTAACCTGGTAAGGATGCTTTAGAGGTGAAAAAACAGGTCATAGAGACTTGTAGACTTACAGTGATAGAAGTAAAAATGTACAGTAAGCAGCAGAACTGAAAAACATTTTAAAGGGAGAAGAAACTAAATGACAGGCTGGATATAAAGATAGAATAAATCAGAGATAATTCCATGTTTCCTGAGAAATGACAAAGTATGATGTCACTGACAAGTAATTTAGGAATACAAGTCCTTTAGGAAATAGTTATTTCTAAGCCACTTATAACAAGCACATTTCCCTGTTGATAGGACCCTGTATTCTAAAGCTTAGCTTCTTTCTTTCCCAGCTGCAATTCCACTTTATTCTATAAGATAATGCCAACCTGGTATATCAGAAACAACTCAGCCTTTGGAGCCAGACTGGTCTGGCTTATAGCCTATCTCTACTTACCAAAGTTTCTTTGGGAAAATTACTTAATTTGCCCAAGCCTCAAGGATAATGATTTCAGACTTTCAGACTGTTATGATGATTCAGTGAGATATATCAGATGCTTCACATATAATAGGTGCTTTGTAAATGCTGGTTCCCTTCCTCTAAGCATGATTTTTTTTTTTTTTTTTTTTTTTTTTTTGTACATAGTGCAGCCAAAAGAAAGAAGTCTACCTGTGGGTGCTCTAGTTATACCAAGGTCTTTACTGGGATTTATTGTTGTTGGGTTTTGCTTTCCTTAAATGTTTATCAAGATTTCTTCTGCAAATGCTACAATCTTGAAAATCATAAAGATGTGATTCACTTTATATTTATGCAATGTGCTCTGTCATCACTGTTTTAACTTTGTCCTTAAATCTTCAAAAAGAACTCTTCAGTTTTTTCAGCTGACTTGATTTTATTATTTTTTAATTGTATTACATTCTAATTCTTAAATAGGTAACATAAAATTTGGTAAAAGAGATAAACAGTAAACGCTGAGTCTGTTAGTAGTTTTGTATGCATCTTTACAGTTATTCTGTGTTTGTATGCAAGTCAGTGTGTGTGTGTTTTTTAAAATTCCAATGTTACCATACTGTACAGAGTTCTGCATTTTGTTTGTTCACTTAACCATATGTATCTGTGACTGTTACAGATCAGAACCTAAAGGTGCATTCTTTTTTTTTTTTTTTTTGAGACGGAGTTTCACTCATGTTAC